TGTGACGTGGTAGATTTTACCCCGTCAGGTCCTCGGCGAGAACTGTCGTGTTACGCGGGAAAACGCGTATTAGAGAAGAATCCAGGCAAGATGCCACCACCTCAAGGGCTAACGAAGTTGGGAATTTGTTGATTTCTGATTTTGTTGTTTTGATTTTTGCTATGTCCCATGTCGCGAATATTGTATTCGCGGGCTTACCGAGTCTCGAGGAGAACCAGCGAGGGATCATCAGCGTGGGAGGAACGAGGACGAAAGGCTGAGTGACGTCAGAGCGCCGGCAGGGCCCGAGCTGCGCGCGCTATAGCTCACCGCACCAATCACCTCGCGACTTGGATCGACTCTACGCACGCTATCACCCGAACTGCATGAACTGGTCTACGCGTACCGAGTAACTAGCAGGGAGCTATTACTCATTCCGTGTGACGTAGACCTACGAACGACGAAGTACCACAGCTCATGACGGAGACCGCTATCGACGAACGAAACGAAGACTCGCGAATTGGGAATCCGGGGACGCCTGGTGAACCGTTGCGAATTCCTATGGAGCGACGGAGCCCATCGCGGGACAGCCAGTAATCGCTGTTCCCGAATCGTATGAATTGTCGCGAAGACGGATTTGAATTGTAGCGCGTGGTGTCATATCGGAGATTTCTGATTGGGGCCGTAGGACCAATCAGCGGTGGTTGCGAATAAGGGAGAGGATGATAGTCTCCGGTGCTGCCGATCACGATTGAAAGGGAAGGCAACTTTCCTTCTTCTTGCATGGACTGTCGACGACGCGAGTCGTGTTTTTGGAACCGTTTGTTATTCGGGGTAGTTTCTGTGGAGAATCTGGACTTCGTCCGAGGCCGCGTATACGGGCTAAATTCTCCAGATCGAAGATACGTAGAGATTTCGGTAAGCGATTTGTTAATTTTTGTGAGCGACGAAATCTCGTAACACCCCGCGTTTTGTACGTGTTTAAATTGTGCCTGTAGGCACGTGGGAAATGTTCCCACTCGTAGAATCGCGTTCGTTTTGAGTACGAGATACCGCCGACCGGCTAGGGACTGAATTCGCGTAAATATGTTGCCCATCGTGGGCATATTTATCGCGCGTTTGTCAATCGAATCGAATGAATGTGTTTGAATGATAAGTTCTCTCGGCAATGTTGAGTGTTAGATCTCCGAATCTTATTGTAACGCGTTCACGTTAGGGACGTGTTGCCGACAGACACGGAATACCTTGAGGTCGTGTTTCCGAAGTGTCGCGATTAAATCGCGTTATATTGTCGAATCGACTCATGTATTGAGAAAATCTTTGTAATTGAACCGATAGTGAATTGTCGAATTTGTAGCGAAGTGTTCGAAAGTATTTGTTGATGGTCGAAAATGTCGAAATGTCGAATTGTCTCGAATCGTCCGAAAGTATTTATTGAATGTTGAAAGTATCGAATTTTATCGGATTGTACAACTGTATTGAGCGAATTGTAAGATTTAGACTGCGCGGAATAGATCGCGAACTTTGTACGTAGAACTTCGGATTAGGACTTAAGCTAAAATTGATATTGTCATTCGTTGTTGTTTTAGTCACGATCTTATTGGGTCTATTATTTATTTTCGAAATTGTCAAATTTGGATTTTGTTATATCCGCGTGGTCGCGTCCGGAATTGGTGCAAAAATAAACGATCGATTTTGTTATTGTTGACCCAAAAAGCCGGAGTATTCATTTTGTTGAAGTTGTCCTTACTCTTGAAGATCCCCGCCACCTCCGCATAGCTGAGTTAGCCAACGTAGTCACGCGAAGACGAACCGTAGAAGTTGATACGTGGTTCCCGTTTTGGAACCTGGCGCCCAACAATACCAGAGGTATTATTTCGAGTTGCATGTGTTAGCCCTGGGTTGTCTGGAACGCGAAGGAATCGCGTAAGTTGTGCGCCGGTCAGTCTCTCATCTCCCGATGAGGCTCGATCGCGAAATTGACGTCGCAACGTACTGTGACGAAAAATATGGAGAAAAACGAAAATATGGTTATAATTGCAATGATAAAAGAGACTTGAAAGATGAGCCTATATATTCAGGAGCACTAATTACGTAAATTTTGGACATTTCTTGAGGTTAGGGACAAACGGTGGCCAGGTAGGATTAATCTAATGTTTGAATTGGATTCAGCGACCCCGAAAACCTAGAGATTCAGTGTCTTGACCTCCAAAAACATCGAAAAATGTCATGAAATTGTCAATTTCAGGCCAAAAACGTCAATTTTAGGCATTTTTTGAGGTTAGGGACGAACGGTGACCAGATAGGATTAATCTGATGTTTTAATTGGATTCAGCGACCCCAAAAACATAAAGTCCAAGTATTTTTAAGTGTGAAAAAAATTTTGTTATACCTATTTTATATACATGAAATTCTTTCAACACGATTTTTCATGCTTTCGGGCGCCATATTGGGGCCGCCATCTTGAAATTTTTTAAAGCGCCACTCTGCATTCGAAAGAGGACATGAATACGAAAATTTTAAGCCCTCATACGTATCTGTAGGCCTCTGCAATTTCTGGCCATAAGGGTGGCCCGGCTGACGTGGAATGGCCCATATGTATAATGCAATGATACATCATCAATAGGTTATTTTATTAAAATTTCAATCCTCTCGCAGTTGCAAACCTTTTTTAACTGAGCTAAATTTTGTGCAAATTTAACTTATAGATATACAAGCCAAAAACAAGAAAACCCTAATTATGAGATTATTTATGACAGATCAATTTGTAAAGAATTATCTGAGCACAGCAAAATTTTGTCAGATCCAAGAAATGTTTCTTTCATATAGAACTGCAATAGCTTACCTTTATTTAAGTCGCTAAAGTATAGTGTATGACAGTTTGGTTATTTGATTAATGTACCTGTACAGTACTTCATTTTAAGCATAATCCTAAGTCATCTTCTACTGTGTATTATAAAAAATGCCCAAATCCTCCCGTTATAATTAACTTTTATTCACGGGCCGCCAGGAAGTACTAGAGGGCTAGGAATTTCTGAAAAATTAAAAGTTCTGATCGGCAATCGAAAACTAACCATTGCGCCATCGAACCCACTATCCGTCCTGATAAGTCCTCTTTATTTATTTTTTAGTAACTCCTAGGTGGAATCTTTTTAGTTCTGCCACGTTACAGTAATAAGATTGTTTGGTTACAGTCTTACGACCATGCTTCGAATGCCATTCTGGAGGCCATTCCCAGATAGCAAAGCATGATCGAAGAAAAACTACGAAAATAAAAATTTCGGCAATTTTCCAAATATTTTCCTACGACGTATGAATAGTGCTGTTGTATCATCCAAATGGCATGCAATACGTAAACGTGAGTCACTAAGCAACATGTAAAGAACTCGTTTCTGATACATTGCTAACAAAGAGTGAGCAACTGCTATTCCTCAAATGTATAGGGCATCGTTGATTGGTAATATTTTCCTACTGTTTGCGGCCTTATTACTACAGTTTTGGGTTGCATCAATGTGAGAGCAATCCAACAGGCAAGCTGCTAACGCATTCCTAACTTTGTAGAGACTTTGCTACCTGGTTTCTAACTTTAATACATTTTAAGTGTCTATATTGCTTTAGTCACTTTTCAAACATTTAAAAGCGTGTTAAGTATTGTCACACATTAAGTATTAAAACACATTTAAATGTTTTAAAACCCGAGTCAAAAATTAAGTACTACTTCGATCCTAATGGGTCTGATTTCATTCTTCTCACACTAATCTAGGTCTGATTGTTCGATAAATATGATAAGTCCTGATGAATCTGATCACGTTTTTTTAGTCCGAATTTAGACTTATTTATTGTGTATACGAGCTAAAACAGTATTTATAAATCCTGTTCTTGTACTGTCGAGAAGAACGTGATAATGTAGAAACAGGACTTACTTTATGTGGCTCCGGAAGTGACTATAGTAATTAAAACTTTTGTAATGTGTTAAAATAAAACACTTAAATTTGCAGTATATATTGAACATACCATCAATTAATTGACTATACAGACAGAGTAATTTGTACATATTTCTTGTTCCTATGATATAGTTCTGTGTTTCCTTTTTTCATCGATGCAAATCCATTATACCGTATGACCCCTCCTAAGTAAGAAACCTGAAGTTGTCACTATCGAGAACGAGTTGCTCCCTCGTTTTCGCGCCGAAATCTAGTGATATCAGCCGGCGATTAAATATTTTTACAATATCGACATGCTTCGCAAAAATATACAATAATTCAAAAATCTAGGGCTAGATTATCCAAAGTTGCATCTACCGAACAACTTGTACTTCTCTATGGTAACTTGTAATATTGCTAATAAGTTTCATTTGAGTAAGCGATGAATTATTTGTTTGTAAAAGGTTTTTAATGATGGTAACGTACAACGATAACCTATTGATGCTTTTCATTCTCCCTTTTCAGATAATCAAATTCTGTTTCATTGTATTTTAGCATATAATGCACCACCTGAAGATGTTTCTACTATAGAATTTAAGTGAGCAAGTTAATTTCAGTTGGTGCAATACTTCTGAATCAAGTTATGTGTGAAATTCTATCACGATATGTTGCATATCTGCTCTATGTTTTAACTATCGATCTGGGTATGAAGCAGTATTAAGCTGAAAGTTCACGCTTCAGAGTATTGACACAATTTCATCAAGAACTTAGACACATCGAGTAATTTGATACCCCGAACTATACAACGAAGTGAGGAAATGAATCGTGGAAGAACAAAAGTCTATATGCACCGGTTACGTAATCAAGAGGCATGGTTGTGTACATACACATTATACTGTCAAGTTTAGTACTATGAGATCATATTAAGAAGATCAAGATAAATGTCGGTGCAAGAATCTATGCCAAAACTCTGCACAGATTAATTTTATTGCATTATCAAGAATTATATATATATATTTCCAAACATTCTCAGTGTTGGATGTTAATATTAGTCTTTTTCGGAAATTCTCATTATTGAAATATTATTAAAAAGTAAGGTTACCTGTAAATTTCTGTAGGTAAAAATCCCTCGGAATATTCAGTACTCGCGACGTGGTTCTTGGTCATATCTCTAGGCCTGGCGACTTCAACCGCATCGACGAATCTAAACGAAACGGAGGCTTTTAATCGAAATATATTCTATAATTTTACCCCATTGATTGCCCAAAGTAGTTATTTGAATCATGCTTCGTTTCCTTCCACGCCCACACACAATCCTGCGACAAATCACTCGGTAAATTTATTAAGAAAATTTCTTAATATCTGAAGAAATCATTCGACTTACTATGTTTGTGTACGCGAGCTTGATTTAAATATAATTAACAACTAACATCCCATGCAATGAAACATCAATAAACCAGTAATATTAACGCATATGCATAGATATAAAAAATATGTCGATAACGTAAAGAAGAAATATTACTATTCTATAAGCAAAGCAGCTAATTCACATCAGACTACCTGTAGACTATCACTAAGTTCTTTCAATGCCACAGTGCTCGGAATTGTATACTTATCTCTCATATCTCTAATATATAATATAAATTCATAAGATACATGAACATTGCGTTTCTATAGCAATGAAATTAGATCGTAACTTTCCCAAGCGCAATGGCATCGACTACATCTTGGAAGTCAAAAAAAGATCGGCAGTAATCAAACGGTCAAACCTTTCTATTTAGTTATCCAATGTTTTCATTTAATTTAATTAAAAATTTCATTAAAAATTCTGCGAATTCACCACCTTCTTCTTCTACCAACCAAGGTTCGTTGTACATTTTATTTCGACTTACGAATTGAAATACGGGGGTATTGGATGTGGAACTTCAACAGGCAACGTCTCAGCATATGGATGTTGGTGATCCGAGTTTTGAAAGCATCCTCGCCAGCAGCTGAGACTTCCGCTTTTCCTCCTTAAAAAAGCCGACGAGGATATGTTCCTTCTTCTTCCTTATACAGACTCCTTAACACTTTCCCCTCTCCACTACTTCACCTCAACTACTCTTCACACTTGTCACAATTTTGTGATTGCCCGTGAACTTTAACGAAGATCTTCGCTTTTACTTCAACTTTCCTCATTTATGAAACTCAACGCATCAATCGTAAAAAAGAGACATTAATTAAGTCTGCTAATAAAATAAAGTGATAGAATGCAGACATCGCGATGAAACAGTAGGCGAGTGAAAAGAAAAGGGAAGAGCCTTTATGACGATAAACAAGCGACGTTACTCAAAAGATAGACGCCAATAAATTGTTTTACTAAGATTTTATAAATGCCGATGACCAATCTTATGATACGCGATTGGAAGAATCAAACAAACCAAGTAATATACTTGTTGAATAAATATACATTTTTAGGTTGTATTTATGGAATGATATTATGGATTATTAAATAATAGCTTCAGGACACGTGGAACGGACATCATGGTATTTAATATTCATGCCTTCACACATTCGCACTTCACTCAATTCATACGTGGAGCCAATAAAAAGATAATGGATTCGAACATTATGTAGTATATGTATATAAATAATGTATGAATATAAAATTTTAACTATCTAGTACGAATAAGTATAATACACGAGTGTGAAGTTTGGTACACGAGCTGTTAGGCGAGTGCACCAATCACACGAGTCTTATATTCATTCGTTAATAGCTAGATACAACAGTTTTTGTAACGAATGCTCAAAGAAAACGCCGTCTGGCCTTTTTTTCACAAGAGATTGCACTGTTAACCTGCTTAAAAAAATATGTTTCAATCGGTTTTCTCTTCCTTGAAAATATTTTAGATGATTATGACGTCAATATTATAAATTTTTAGGTAATTTTATAATCATTTGCCCAAAAAATAATATTTTAAGGTGCCCTCCGGCGACACATTACGGGGAATTGTTTGAGCGTTTGTCAAAAAAGTATCTATTATATTGAGTTATTTATCCCAAATGCACCACTTGAAGTTAGCGCACCGATTTGATTGTGTGGTAAAACCATGTTCGGTGGTGCGGTTGGATTAAATGACAGGATATAAACTTATAATAGACGTTATGTGGACATTTTTGTACCTTCGTTCAAAAATCTACGGCAGTGGCACGGAAAGTATGTATGTATGTATGTATATGTATAAATGGGACATAATACTACGATAAACATTACTTTACCAGATATTAAATTTAATATCAATTATGAAAACGAATACTTTAACATTATACGATGTGGTTTAGTTCAGTCTTTTGGATATACACAGTAACTACGAGTTATGTGAAAATAATTTGTAAGGTATAATTTTGTATACTTTTCTTCAAAATTAAATTTATATAGGGGCACATTGATCGGCAAATATCCACATTTAACATTAATGGTATACATGTATACACAGGGCATATGTATAGTGTTTTAACCCATAAAGTGAGCAATTAATTTTTGGTAACAGTTAATCTAAACAATTTGCAAACGAAATAGATTTTGTGTACAAGGCGATAGAAATTGATCCAATATTTTTTTAATTCATCGTTAACAAGACGACAAATCTACAAACCAATATCCTACATGGACCTAACCTCTACGCTATAAGTGCGACCTGAATAAATCCTCATTGGATTTCGATGATATTACGTTCAATGCAATGCATTGGAATATTATATAGATGTATGTATACACAATTACACGATATAAATTGGAATGTTGTATAGATATTCGTGCGAATATATGTAACATTACTGGAATGTTGTATGAATATGAAATTAGTACTATGGTCAAAGAATACATATTACGTTAAAGTTCCTAAGATATCTAAGCAAAATCTATTCTTCGCCAGAAACATTTACAGGAAATCTGTGAAATATTATTGCCATACGATTTCGATATTTAAGACTCCATACTCCATAAGATCCATAATCCCATGTAATATAATAATTGCACTTCTTCTTTTTCTCAAAATCATAACCACCAAAAGTGTAAGAGAGCTGTTGTCAACTGGAACACCATGTCGAATGAAATGAAATCATTTAATCTGCTATCTATTGGTAGTGAACAAATTATAATTGCCTGATCAGCTGTGTTTTAAGAAACAGTAAACATAATTTCACAAGAAAATTCTGTAAGCGTCATCTACAACATTAATTATAATATAAACTGTTTCTATTTTCAACTGACACCAGTCTTCTCTACTATGTAAAAAGTATCAATGTGATACATCCATTTAAAAGATATACTTAAGTTGCGAGTTGATAGTTTCCCATCCTGCGATCTAGCGGACATACTTTCCACAATTCAATTCGTAACTCTGATAGGGTTTTGTTTAGGGTTATTATAATGGGCATGATATGAAATGCTTAGTTTGCAGTATTGGCATACTAGTCCAAAACTGGTTAATCCCAGAATTGCAAGCCATAGATAGAGAAACCATATCGATTTCCGGTTAGAACCTTTTCTGACATCCGGTTAGTTCTGCCAAATTTCTAAACAAGATAAATCACCAATGATCTACACTTGGTCATCTTGAACACCAACGAACCTCTTGTATAATATGACTTTCTGAATATGTTAGAAATCATATAAAAAATAGCAAATAGAAATCTTCTCGAAGAGATATTGTAACGATGTCATTTAGATATCAAGTAAGCAACATTCATTAGATATCATGTGCGTCGATCGTTTTTATATTAGTGATAAGCGATTGAGAATGTTCGAATCCTGTAATCGATGTACTAGTACATGTGTCTTATGTGTAGTCCCTGATAAGATATTTGATTTGACACACAAGTATAAGAGGTGGTTCGGATAAAAGTAGCCTCGATCATCGAGCCAAATTTTATACGGTTTCGGATATACATCAGCCTGTACTTGATCCGAGACTCGACTGAGTCTTTTCTATTGAACGGTGGAGAAAATATTGGAATAATTTAGTATTTTTTTTAATCATTAAATTGTTATTACATTGTTCTAAACCAGTGTAATATAGATAACTCTCTTTCATATTTTGTAGATAACATAGAGTTTAAAGTTTTGTTTTCGCATCAGTGCAAAACAACAGACGAACCTGCAGTGGCTGTAGTTACAGAAAATGTAAGCACACTCGGTTTCTTAACAGAAATAGATATTAAATATTATATTGTTGAGCCTGCAAATATGCTAATAACTGAATAGCTATTGTTAATGTAATCAATACCATAGTAAAAACATTTTGGAAAATGAAATATAAAATTGTTTGAAAATATAGTAGAAAATTTAATTTTTATATGGTTAGATTTCGCAATAGTAAAGCTAGGATTCATTTGCGAACAATCAGCAAATGATGTACGAAGAATCTATGGATAATCTGTGAACGATCAGTGAAATGCTGTATCTTCTTAATGTACGGGGAAGATCGTACTCGGATTAATCACGGATTCAATCAGTGTTCACTGTATTAACAAGATATTTGTTAGATCAGCTTTGGGTCAGTTTCACAGGCTGAATTGATCCTTCATAAATTTGCGATCGACCGTGAACTATATAGATAAAACAAAGTACGGTGACAGAAGTTGATCGTTCAATGTAAATGATATCACAAGTCTCATTTTCGAGATTATATGTATGTGGTTGTCCGCTTTGCAGCTAGATGGGACCTCACGTTTACAGCTAAAATGAAAGAGGGTCCTTCAGACACTATCAAGGTGCACATTTCATCTTTTCTTCATTGTTTTCTCTGCACGTGAAGTGAAATTATTGATACGGACCGTAGTGACTTTATGAATGACAGTCTTTTCACCTTCAGCAACTGGTAAATGGATAAACATCATTCAAAATATTACTACAAAGATAGGAATTCCGAAAGCTGAGAAATGAGCCAAGCCTGGGGATCCTAAACTTCGACTAAGCTTTGACATCCTAAACAGGGACGAAGCTTTAGCCAGGCCTCAGGAACCAAGTCTTGGAATCTGGAGCTTAGAACAAGTACTATTCTTCTGATCCATTTTATCACTAAGTTCGTCATCTGTCAAATGTTACCCGAGCGGAAATGTCATATCCAATGTCACCCCGATCAGAGTACGATTAAGTTTACGTAAAGTACGTCTGACGGAAAAATCAGAATCTTTTTCAATATCGTCCTTATTAAGGTCGGATATGTTTTATATAACGCGTAGTAATACGAAAAGAACGAATTCTATTGCATTATTCAATAATTTGTTTCAACAGTTAATGATTTTTTTGATGGCCTCCACGTTCCTATGAAAAAATTAAGGTGGCCTCTATTTTCTATTGATAAAAACTGTTCCGACAATTTTCATTATTTCAATTTGATGCTAATGAAGAACTATCAAATTTGTGGTGAAAAAACTTTTTTGTACCAACGCATCGGAATTGGACCTGTGACGTATCTTCTCAACTCGGCACAGATAACAAGAATTTGATAGTTAACCTACGTTACTGTCGACCGTCCAATTTTCGCTCATGCATCCGCATGTCGAGTGGGCGCCAGCTAATTCTTATTTACCGGGAATTGACGAACCGGTGGGACCTGGGAGTTGAGGTGGAATAACTTCAATTCCGTCAAAATGAGAGCTCTAACAAAACCTATCAGAAGGCACGGTAACATTACGGATCCTATCTATTTTTGTGGACGCGTAAAATTCAGAAATGCAACTGTGATGTATTGCCTTGTAGCTTGTACTGTGGGTGGTGCATGTGGATTCATGCATCGGGAACTAGGATGAGGTGAAGCAGTAGACACAGTTACTCTTAATCTTAACCTTTATTGGCAGTAAGTTCCTTGGCCGCGTGGCCTACAGTTCCGCTGCCAAGCGCCTTCCGGCCCGTCTCGCACTCACGCGCTCGCACGCTCACACGCCGCCCGCGGTACTAACCTAACGTCGCTCTCAACCTAACCTAACGCGACGTACATACATCACAGCAACCATACGTGTTGACCTT